GCCTGCCAGATCGGGCGAGAGAGGGGGGGGGGGGCTGTCGATACGCCTCCTATCAGTGACAATGTGCTGACGGTAATCAGGGCCTCCTTGCTAGGACTGGAGGGGGCTGCGGGAACAAGATGCTGCTGATGCACACTGATTTCCATCCCTGCTTCATTTTTTCGCCTGTTCTCTGTATACATTGTATTTTAGTTGTAACTGTTTTTACACCAAAGTGTACATCGAAATGTGTAGCTTAAACGCGGGAGAAATAAAACCACATTTTTTAAACAAATTAGTCTTTAACTTCTACTGAACTGGGAATTTTGAACACCCCGAACCGTTTGACTTTCCAGTCTAACAAGTGCAGAAGTATTTTGTGGTGTTGAACACTCCTGCCGTTTGGTCTTCCGTAGGCCGGGTGCCTAACAAAGGTGAGGGGCGAAGACAGCGGGGGAATCCTACTCCTCACCTCTCTGTGACGCCCGAGCGGCCTTGGCGCGGTCGGTCTCGGAAGGCGATTTTGCAGAGCTCTGCCACAGGGTGCGGTGTGCCTCTTCGCCACATTGTGTAATCCTTTGATGTCGCTTTTCCGGGAATGCACCCGAGCTGCGACATGTCAGTCGGAACCTCACCGCCGCCCGTCTTGGAGCCACCAACTGGCGACAGAGACTCTCTAATGAGCGCCGCGCTGTGAGCCATGCGCCGATACATAAGCTAACGCCTTAGAAGCCAGCTATGCCGAAGAATACGGTAGAGACTCTTTTGTTTGATCAGTAGGACTTTTAACAGTTTTAGCTAAACACTCCAACTTCCCAACTGTTACACTCGCGACTCATGCGATAGCTGTTCCGTGGGAAATATAAAGGCTCTTCAGATGAAACACTCCTCTTAAAATGCGCGCGATGCGCGCGCGTGGTGAAAATCGAGCCGCGAGATGGCGACGGAGGGGGCTCCACTGGCGCGCCTAAGAATGCCATGAGGACCGGTACACCCTCAAAACCCTAGAATCGATACCCAGCACGCCCTGAACCGTTAATTTACAAAATATACTCATTTAGGTGAAATTTCTCATAAAATAGCCCAAAATCAGTACTAGTTTTGGCCGGAGAATTTTTTTTCTTGCATTTTTGAGTTCCTTGGGTCCGATTAAGTAGGTATGGACTCCCGGATGAAGCCTGTAGGTCAATATTAGTGGCGTCGACTTTTGGGGGTAGTTTTCTCATACTACCCCCCAAAAACCTACCCCCGCAGCAAAAATCAGATAGGTGCTACGGGCCAAATCGACCATTTGGGTGTTAGGAACAAGTGTGTAAAGTGGCTTGCTGGTATCACAATTTGCAGTATCCATCTGATATTCGAGTTGTACCGCTGGTACTAGTAGGAGGGAGTCATCTCCTGCAGTGGTTTCTGCGGCTGGCTTGTACACACTTGCCGCTAGATAGCGCGGGCGAGGAGACGCAGAAGCAAGCAAGCACCTTACTTTCAGTTTCACGACCAAACTTTTTGCGAGCAAAGCGATTTATGCTCTCTGTTTAAACTGTGCCATGCACGGCCGTCTGCTTCGCCGGCCAGAACACTTAGTCCCGGCGTAGCCGAGCGGCTCCTGAAAGTCGGTCAGGAAAGAAGGTTAAGAGAAGGGGAAAGGGGGGGGGGCTAAACTGTCAAAGGAATCACCTACACTCCCGAGGTCAGCTCCGGACTGGCGCCCTTCACCGCTCTGCCCGCCTTTCTCTCCCCGCCCCACGCACGGCCTCGTGCGGGTCCATACGGTCACTGCCAGCTCGTTAGGGCCTTCTCGGATATCACCTGCCAGTCGCGGTGCTTACGCACGAGCCCACCTTGGACACCCCGGGGCAGAGCTTCCTATGGAGAGAAGCAGGGGCCACCTCTGTTTAGTATTGTAACCTGTAGAGACATGGAATTAGATAAATCTTTAAGGTTTGACTTTGAACAGCATTTCTTTCGCCTTGATACTCTATGAAAATTGCTTAAAATCATATGAAGGTGTGGACCGTTGTTTCTATTTCTGTTATTTATTTATTTATTTATCTTATTTATTTTTATATTTATTTGTCTACTGTTTAGTTCCAGGAGCGAGTGGCTTATCTGTTTCCCTCTATTGGTGCGGTCGCCACGCTCTCGGGGGAAATTACCGCACAACCACGTCGCCTACTAAGCAGAGGCCTCAATTTGCTTAATCTTTTGTTGTTGTTTTTCTTTGCGGCCTCTCTGCGGTGTTGGCGCCTCTCGAAGGGATCGGAAACGGGTGGCGAGAAAAATGAGCAGGGGAAAAACATTCCGGTGCGTGCTGAAGAACGAGAAGATTGGCGCACTGTAGCGTTATCTTCGGAAAGGGGTTAATAGGCTTGTGCACATGTGGGTTGAAGCCTGTACTTAGGTCCCTATATGGCCACAGTGAGTGCACACGGGCCTTGATAACTCGGCTAATCTTAGTGCAGCACTTGTTTTGCAGTTCTAAGTGGTAAACTTTGGTTGGGCAGTAACAAGTGGCGAACGAAAACATTCTGCAGTTGCAGCTCCAGAGCAAAAAGTTTCGTCGCTAAGAACTGCATTGCTCCGTCTTACGAGTAGTTGCACCCACAGTGAAATCTGTTATAGGAAATAAATGTTGAAATAATTCAGCCATTTGGTACGATAAACCCTCTCTCTCGTTTCTCTCTCTCTCTCTTTTTAGTTTGTGTCGTGCCTTTCCCAGAGTAGGGTCGTGAGCGAAGAGCGGGTAACTCTACAGGAAAGGATTTTATTAGCTGAGTGACATGAGACATAAAACAGGTGCTTTGGAGAGGGACACCTGAGCGCAGCGTTGAGGCGGAGTGGCCTGGAGTGGTTGAAGCTTGAGCTGGTGGGTGGTGGCCGTGCTCAGTCCAGTCTTGGTACCTTTTGCACTCCCCCGGCACTGGGAAGTCAAGCAGGTTCATTTAATTCGATTCCAAAGTACACAGTCTTGTAGTCATTTTGTAAGTTTCAGCATTTACTGATCAAATACCGCCTTGCAGGCATTCTGTTTACAATAGGAAAATTCTGCAAAGCGTTGCTTTGTATAAGATAGAGGAAATAGAAGCATCCCAATTCAAAGTGAACTTTCTTTGAAGTTACAACTAACTGATTTATAACTAATAAGCGTTGCGTCGTAGTCCCCATGCATGTTTTCTTCCTAGATTGGTTACATTTTAACTGTTTTCCTGAGTTCCATCTGTGCTCACAAAAACGTATGATTTTGTAGGCATAAATGCAAAAATCACATCAGAAATATTCGCAAAAATGCTGCTCCATTTTGTGACAAATGAAACAAATCCAGCGCGAAATCCAGTTAATATGTACGAAGCAATGCGCTGAAAACTTTGCACAGTGCACAGACTTGTAAACATCGTAAACGGGCGCGCACACTGGCAGGAATCTGCGAACAGATCGCAGATCCGCGCCTCAACTTTGGCGCGCCTCTCTCCCTTCCCCGGGTCCTCATCTCGCCCTCTCCTCGGCGACCGGTCGGGCCGGTCGAGACTGGGTCCACGCAAGAGGATGGTAATAGAGTTTGTGCTTTGGGCCAAGGTCCATGTGCGTGTGTCAGAGCTGGAGAGGGAGCCGCACAGAAAGGATGATGGAGCCGAATAGACAATGGAACGGGAGAGAATGGTGGCAGCAGCAGAGGAAGGAGAAGGGTAAGGGATGTGGGACGAGAGAGAGAGAGAGAGTAGGGCAGACAAAAGACATTTAAGATCTTTAAGGAGCGCACCCACGCCGACTGTGGCGCTCTGCGGCGTCGCGACTGAATGTTCCTGATATCCCTCGCTCGCTCGCTCGCTCGGTCTCCGATGGGGCAGCGCCGCCGCTGGGGCTGGCGACAAATCAAAGGAAATGGCTCGGAGGACTAGACGTGCACACAAGAGCTCTGTGTGTGTGTGTTTGAGCGGGGGAGGTGGAGATGGTGCGTGTGTTGTAGAGTGGCGCTACGACACGATGCACGCCCTTGATGGAAAAGAAAACTATTCGTGAGGAAATAATTATTGAATTTTTTTGTGGCGTTCTAGTTGAAGCGCATGTATTGGCATTATAGAACCCTTTTTGTCGCGTTTTTTTTGGTTTTATTTACCTGGATGTACTGATTTTAGGATGCACAACCAGCGGTTGAACCGGGTTGAATACTTTAGTCTTATATGGTTGAACACATCCTTTACTAGTTTTGGAGTTGTGTAGAGTACAGGTTTCTAAGAATGTGGTAACAGTTTCACATGGAGCTTATTCGATTTTGGTATTTCATATACTAGGTATGTACCGAAACAACGTCCCTTGCCTCTGGTTCACTCCATTCGCTAGGGCTTTCTCTTCGCCCGCCCCTGAAGGCCAGAGTGCTATCCGGTCCCATCTTCTTATCTCGAAAACAACCACCACTACAGATTCTCTCCCCGCCTCCCCCTCTCCCGCCGCGCGCTCCCGTTCTCCCTCTTGTGCACCCGAAGTCCACCCTGACACGCTGGACCTTTCCTGTGGACAAACACCCCTCATTTGAATGCTTTCAGCGCTGATGCCTGCGGAACACACGTACCAGCCCTTGTATCTTGTTGATCCCAATAGCAACACATGGACTCCCTCTTTTTTCCCTTTCCTCTTTTCCATCCCTCATCCCTCTCTCTTCTTCTCTCCCCGTTTCTCTCCCTCTTTCTCGCATCCTCCCTCCCATGTAGTTGTCTCTCTCCGTTTCTTTTCGCTTAAATAGAAGGCGATCGCTGGCTGGTCAATGTAAAAGGCAGAGCAGCGCTCATTGGATGCTTGCTTGTATGCGTCCTGCGTCCTTTGAGTTGCGTGCCTCATTTCTGCGCGCGCGCGAGAGAGAGAGAGAGAGAGGGCGGGGGGGGGGGGGGGGTCTTTTTCCTTTTTTCCAGCCCCCCCCCCCTCTTCCCTCTCTCTTTTTCCCTTCCCTTGCGCCTCCCTAGCCCATGGAACCCGCTTGGCTCTGAAAGGAAAATGGGCCCCTTTTATCTGCAGGGCAGTAGGCCGGCGCGTCAGATCAATGTGAGATATATCAGCAATGAATCGTGAGGTGCGGGAGGAGGGGTGGGGGTGAGGGACGCACTGGTAGCGCTCAGGAGAGATGGAAAAGTGGGAGGGGAAAGTGGGGGGGGGGCGACTCCCACGGTCTGCGTAGCTCTGACTTCAAAAACCTTTTGGTTCGTCAGAACATGAAAAGGTAAAAAGTAGGCCCTGGTGCACGCTGTTCCTCCCACCTCCCAGGCTTTTACCTCGCCACCCAGGCTGACTCTGGCTTCCCTCAATCAGTCTCACTTTACAAGAGATGAAGAGGAAATACAATTATGGAGGTAGAAAAAATAATTTTAAAAAAATCCGGGGTGGTTTTTTTCTTTTGGCCAGGAGAGGCATAACGTGCGGGCACAATGGGGAATTACCAGACGCACGCTGTTTTTTTCCGCCACTGCAGAGTTTAATTGCGATACGAGTCGCTTAGTATACTGTGAGAAAATGGAAAGAGCTTTGGACTGATCTTTTTCTCCCACGTTTAATTTAGGCAGGTGCCGCGAGCGCTTACTGCATCCAACATGCACCCTTCAAAGACTTCGCGTCTTTTCTTTGTCGTCTTGCTGAAATAATAACTCCAGCTGGCTGCATATTGCGAAGCTGTGCACGGTAAACACAATGTCTCCAGTTTTGGAGGTATAACATGAAAACATCCAAGAACTTCCATAATTCACGAACGGTCCCCGGATGTTGAGGATATCTTATCAAAAAATTAGGGCTATTCCCAAATTTTATGAGGAGATTTACTTACATCAAAAAAGACCTTTCTTCAAATTGCAGGAGCTCCTCAAAATGTCGTCTTTTTCCTCAAGAATTCTGACATACCTTTTTACCGTGTGCGTTTAACGTCGTACACAAGCAATCGTTATGCCAGAAACGTACGCCTCTTGATATTAAATGTAACCATTGCATAAGCCCTGAAAATATAATTAATTATGCATAAAATTCTTGGAGCTTCATTGCAGGTGTGGAGAACAGTCAAGCGTCAGATTGTCGCAACACGTGTAGCGACATGGGGGGGGGGGGGGGGGGGCGAACTTGAACTACAAGACTTGTCGGGTGGAAGGAGTTGGGTACAACAGGTGCGGAGCTGCGTGCGCTCTGTGCAAAATGATCTGAGTAAAGCCTAGTAAGGTGCGCGTAACTTTAATCTGCCGTCTCATTCAGTTATTGTCCGAAGGGTTTGGCAATTGTTTTGGTCTGAGCGCGTGGTGCATTTTTCCTGATTTATTCGGTATGAAATTTGCCTTATCCATGGATGATTTGTGGCATGCGTTGCATTCCTAGATCATGCTCCGGCCTGCTATTGCTCTGGCCACCACCCGTCCATGGAGAGAGAGACATAACGCCATTAACCTTGTCCATTTGAAGAGCATCTCTTTGCTCGACCCTCTCAAACGCGGAGCGGGAAGAGATCAAATAAAAGACAGGGGGAGGAGCGGGGAAGGGCGACAATTCGAGAAGAGAATACTGATCTTGGAAATGGAACGAAAATGGCGATTTATTTCCGGCCCGTAAGAAATGCTGATGACTCTGCTTGTGCTGCTGATCTGCTGTGTTCCTTTCATATCAGAATCCTTTCCTCTTCCTTTCCCTTTTCTCCGTCCCTTTTACCTCTCAGCTTACTAGACAGTCCACATTAATATCCTCGTCATGTATACAAACAGGAAATGTTTTTTCCCTGTTTATAATGTGCCTTCCGGAGCGTGAGGTAGGGGAAAAGGGTGGAACCTTGTTGGACATGTGAGCAAAGTATTTAAGAATAAAAGGATATTTTATTTATATCCAAGAAAACGTGGCATTTAATTGCTTAACCACCTACTTGACGTGCCCGTCATTTTGATAATAAGTGAGTTTTTAGCACTTTGGACTTTCGGGCTTTTCTTTCCTTTTGTATTTTCCCTGCATTTTTCCAGTTCCGCTGGAGGCTAGTGGATGTAGCGAAAAGGAAACTTGGCCCCGGCGTGAACCTTGCTCTGCACTCGCCGCCGTGACTCGGCGGGCCAAGCGAGCGTCGCGGCAGGAGTTGAACGGAGTCGCCCCGGCCGAGCGGTCGACGCTCCTAGAGCTGTAACTTGTCCCAGATCTATAGAATCCCATTTCGAAACTCCGAGTCGTTCGACCTGCAGCACCCGCAGCAGCAGCAGCAGCAACAGCCGCCGCCGCCTCTGATACCACTGCTCAGCTACTGTTCCCCATTTTCCACGTCATTGCTCGTTGACTCGCCGGCCAGGTCATTGGCCATGGAAGGTCCTGTGCGCCCCGGCGCCAGGTTCGGCGGGGACCATGTTTTTGGATCCCTAAAAGGGCCCGACTCTGTAGGTCCCAACAAAACAGGCCTCTCAGTCGAAATTCTCGGTATTTTTTCTGTTTATTCGTGCTCCTTTATTTAGTACCGGGTAATTACCTGACACATCGGTACTCTACATTATATACGGCTCGAGGGTAACGCCGTGACTTTTTAAAATTTCCGTTATCAAAGTAAAGTTTCAGGTGGGAATCAATATTCAGGCTGCTGCACCAGATTCTGCCCCCCCCCTTCTCTCTCCCTCTCTCGGGTCGTGTGTGTGTGGGCGCAGGGATGGCACCGTGGGGTGGTGTAAGCAACGGCAGCAGCACGACGCGCGGGACGACGCCGCGCGCACTAATTTGCATGCGAAATGGCCAACCGCAATAAACTTTAAAAACCATCGAGTAATTTTCGCCGCAACGAGGCAAAACGGGACGGGGTAGGGGTAAAGGATAGGAGTAGTGGGGGAACGGGGGTGTTGGTAAAGAGGGGAAAAAAAATCCTGACTGGGTATGAAAAGCAAAACTGAAAGGGGGGGGGGGCGCCTCCCTTCGGTTAATGTGAATTTGCAGAGCGCAAAACCTAGCGCAAGATAAAGTGGAAGCTCTGGGAAAATCAGTCGGAAACTACTGAAAAGTTGTTTCTGATTGGCTTGTTTAATTCTAGCGCGTATCCTTTTCTGGTGGGGGGAAATGAGGATGAGAGAGGCATGTCTCAGCGGCCTCGCGTGGCCCGGGGATGGAGTTGTGCCCGAGTCGAGCTGTGTATATACTGACTGCGGCCGATCGAGTTGCGCTGCGAGTGCTGCTTATGCGTGCCGCGCTCAAAGAGATAATCCCCAGGAGATGCTGTTGATGCTGCTCGCCCACGGGGGAGGAAGCGCGCGGAGTAAGATTCAGCGGGTGAACGTGGTTGGTCGTGTGTGTGCGTGCGCGTGGTTTGTGTGTGCGCGTGCGTGTGTGTGTGTGTGTGTGTGTGTGTGTGTGTGTGTTTGTTGAATTATTCCAGAATCAATCATTCCAAACTGGGCCGGGCTGCACACGGCCCGGAGCCAGGCGGCTGCCGTGTATACATAATTCAGTTTATGCTGTCCGAGAAACCACTCGAGGTGGCCGCGATACATCATGGCGCAGCTTAACCGTATATGCCGCTGTTCGATCAGCGCCTCTATGGCCCCTTGTCTATGAAAAATGCAGCGGCTTCGCACGCCGTCTGAAACCCGCTTGTATGGATGTGTCTGCCGCGTCAAGAATGAAGGGGTCAAGTCGGCCGTAATTTACGCTGATTTTTGTTCTGAAGTTTTTTGCTGGTATACTGTATCAAAATGCATCAACGCGAAACGCAATTCATTCTTTTTGTATGGCACATTCTTCCCGATGCACGGCTCACGTACTGTTATGGGGTCTCGGCAGCGGCCGCTAGTAGTTGCCGTGTTACCAGCGTCGTGTCGTCGTTTTTAATCTCTCCTCTCTCTCTGTGTAAACTTCCCGCGCTGCAACGGTATAAAGTGCAAATCTAAACACGGGGATGGCGGCGCGTGACGGCCCGCCGTAACGTTAGGGTCGGCAGGACGTGACTTAATATCGCGCCCCGGGTTTAGGGCCGCTTTATGTAAGTTCATCTCGTCCCCCGCTGCCGCGTGGCGGCGGTGGTCCGTCCCTAAATATTTAGGACGAGACGACCTTGTGACGTGCGGCCGCGCGCGCCATGCTGCGCCTTGGCCCCGTCACAAGCGCGGTACCAATCACGATATCGGGCATGAATGACGAACATGACGCTCATCCCACCGACAACGTTCAGAAAACGGTTTTAATTCCTGCCCTCCCCCCTCCTCTTTCCGTCTCTCTCTCTCTCTCTCTCTCTCTCTCTCTCTCTCTCTCTCTC